AACTCGCCAGAACAGGATTGGCAATCCAGTATGAAGTATTAACGTCCCCAAAGTATGGTGAAATACAGCGAATGTATTCCGACCATTGGCGATCCATTACCGAATTTTCACAGCGGCAGCTTGAAAAAGACAAAATTCGGTTCGCACCCCTGTATGATTCTGAACATCTCAAAGATAGTTTCCAGCTGCAAGCAACATGCATGGATGTGAGCACAGATCCTTTTGAAGTTATGATTGACGTCATCGCTGTCCACATAAAAGTTGCGAATAACACCCCCCTGCTTATGGACATAATCAAAGAGAAGACCCTAACTCAGCAGCACTTAGGGTCGGTAGTTGTAAACGCCGTCCAAAACAATTTTACAATAACATACTCAATAACAAAATTACCCGAACATGGAAACCTAGTGCGACATTCTGTTCGCCATCTAGAACTTCACGACCAATTCACACAGGATGACATAAACAAAGGACATATTGGTTTTCGTATCAAACATCACATTCGCAAACACGTCAATGATACTTTTGAGTTTCATGTTTCAACCACAGGATATCAATCAAGTATTTTCACATTCCATGTGATGTACATTCCTGATAAACTGAGTACGACAGTAGTTAACACTGGGATTGAAGTGAAAGAAGGTACAAATAAGGTTATTTCGTCTGAAGATCTGTCAATTACCCATCCATTAGCTGATGATTTCCGTTACACTGTAATGACCTCCCCGCAACACGGGAGTCTCCGGTTGATAAATCCAGTCACTCAAGAAGTGGTCGAGATGGGGATCACAGCATTCAGTAATAACGACATAGTATCTGGCAGACTAGTGTATCACCATGACAACTCAGAGAGTGTGAAAGATGCTTTCCAATTCACTGCTATGGCAATTAGTAATGAACCTGAACTTGACGATCCTAAAGATACTACGGTTGTAGAAACTTTTAATATTACCGTGCAGTTAGTAAACGACAACAAGCCACATAGAGTGATTGATAAAGTATTCAAGGTGGTGATGAACAGTGAAAAGGCACTGACAGGAAATGATCTGAAGTACGCTGATGGTGACATCGATTTCCCTGATAACCGATTGCAGTACAGTCGGCAGATGATCCCAAATGGACAGTTAGTAAACGTCAATAATGTGTCCTTGCCTGTATACCATTTCACACAAGCGGACTTAGATACAGGAAAGTTGTTATTCAAACACTCTGGTGCACCATTTGGCAGGATGGTCTTTTACGTGTACGATCAAGACAGAGCTAAATACTCATCAGGACTTCTCGTGATTGAAGCATCAGATCCGTATATCAGAGTTGTAGATAACACTGGACTAATCGTTCAGAAAGGTCGTGGGGTCATCATCATGCCAGCTAACTTGACTGTTGAAACAAACCTGAACGCCAGGGATAAAAGCATTGAATTCTACATCACAGAGCCTCCCAAACATGGGATGTTGTCTAAAAAGGGAGAGGACGGAAATGTGGTCAGTTTTAATCTTGAAGCTTTGAAAAATGGTCGCATTCGCTACCAGCATGATGATAGTGACATCTTAGAAGATGGATTTAACTTCACGGTTAAGGTTAAAGATGTCGAAACTACTGGTTATGTATCAATAAGAATCTACTTAAAGAGCCACCAGAGTCCTCCTGATGTTGCACAATTACGACCGCTGGTTGTCAAAGAAGGTAGTGTTGGCACAATCAAGAAGGCAAATTTGCGTGTCGTCCATAAGGACAGTATTCCTAATGATATTGTGTTCCACATAAGAATGCAACCAAAACATGGTTTCCTGCGGCTTTTGACTGCAGAAAGCGTCAGAAAACTTAACATTGATGAAGACATTGAAGGCCTCACAAGTGAGGAGGTTGAGACCACTACAATAATGGAAGATGAAGCAGACTACTTAGCTGACGTGGAAGTGGAAACTGAATTCATAACAACATTCACACAGACGCAGATTGATCAAGGACGAGTGCAGTATGTTGAAATGGAACCTGGACAAGCCGCTGATCGGTTTATCTTTGATGTCACCAACGGCATTCTGACTGTACCTGATCAGGTCTTCAAGATTGACATTATCCCAGATGTCATTCCTTTGCGAGTAAGGAATATTGAAGTTCGTGAGGGGAGCAGCAGAGCGCTAACCGAAAAATACATCAAAGTTACGAGTAAATACATGAAGGATCAGGTGATTAATTTCATCATTACCAGTGAGCCAATGAGAGGTAGAATTGAGAACAGCCGTGCACCTGGCATCCCTCTGATGCAGTTTACTAGCGAAGACGTCCTAGACGAGTTTATTTACTATGTTCATGATGACAGCGACACTTTAACCGATCAGTTCAGTTTTATTGCGAACTCTACTAGCACTAAGAAACTGAGCAGCGTTCATTCAATCAATGTGACTGTATCACCGGTGAACGATGAACCACCAGACATTGTGATCAATAATGGAATGGAAGTGTTTATTGGTGCTGTTACCATAGTTACAACAGAGGATATGAGTGCCGAGGATAAAGATACTGAAGATAGTCAGATTGTGTTTTCTCTACTAACACCTCCAACCAATGGTTTTATGGCCAAGAAACTGAACACCAACAAGGCCATTACCAACTTTACCCAGGATGATATAGTGAATCACAGAATTGTCTTTGTACATAACGGTAATTCATAGTTTTAATAATTCATAATTCATAGCTTTCCTATGTATTTTAACATTTTAAGCACCCAAATCAAAATGTTGAAAAATACAAGTGTTATACCAAAAAAATACTTATGCTCAAAGGGCTTTATCAGATTTTGAAAAAGCCCCCAAAAAAATAAATTTTACAAAGCCTCATATTCAAATTAAAAACGTCATCTTGCTTTGAAGGCATATCTCTTGACATTTTCTGGTTTTTCATGTTAAAATTTTATATTTTTCTTAAACGGGAGAACTAACATGTAATGCAATTACTTGGTTTTTTTTTACGGTTGATCATTCGGTTAGTCACTCAGTTACAGATTGTTTATTCCAAGTACATGATTTCTGCTTTAACTTGAATGTTAATTTTTATGCAAATTAACCAAATTGGGATATTGATTTTGAGAAAACGTATGATAAAAGCCATTAAAATTTACTTGGGTGTTGACTTGAAAGTCATGATTAGGAACTTGAACTGGGAGTTTTTGTAAATGTATGCTTCAAACACCACCATTAAATTATTTTCACGCAATGCAATGCATACCAAACTTTAGTGTTTAGGAAATTGTTCCCATTAATTTCAGAATTATTTCCAAAAATGTAGGAAAAAAGTGAGAATGTACACTTTACACACATCAATATAAAAACAATTAATATTTTTTTTAAATTTTAATTTCTTTTTTGTGTTTTTTATCTTGTAGGTGCTCGAACTGGTGGCTTTCGCTTTCAAGTCAACGATGGACAGCATTCTGCTAAGCGACAGATTTTCAGTATTACTGCTAAACCGCTGGTGTTATCAATTGGTGCCAATTTAGGAATTGATGTTTACCCTGATTCTGTACAGCCAATCACACCTCAGCATCTAAAAATAACTACCAATGAGGAGCCAGAGAAGACTTCAAATAAGAGCATCATATTTAGGGTTGACCTGAAGCCAGAACTTGGTGAACTTGTCAGGATACCACATCCAGATAGCGTGCCCGATACTTATCATGCTTTGCATGAGTTTACGCAGGATGACATCAACAAAGGAAAGGTCGGATACAAACACGAACAGACATCAAGTAAATGGACTGAAAGAGACCGATTTGTCTTTGATGTGTTCCACCCACTCGCACAAAATATCACTGGTCAGTTGTTCCTTATAACGATATCTTATGAAAACATTGGAGGAAGTATACGAAGTCCACTACTTGCAAATACTGGTGTTGAGGTGACGGAAGGGAATGCCGTGATCATCACCAGTAAGCAGTTGGATGCATCAAATCTTTACGCTAAAGTCGATGGACAATCTGACAACTATATTATTGAATACAATATTACAAAACTTCCTACGCATGGTATTCTTGTTGTCAATGGCAACAATGTAACAGAACCATTCATCATCTTCATTCAAGATGATTTGGCTAAGAAGCGTGTCCATTACCTCCATGATCATTCTGATACCCTCCAAGACTCCTTTTGGTTCAATGTTGCTCTTGGGAGGAAAGACTCCTTGTCGACAGACGCAGACAAGATTCAAGCGGCTGATGATGCTTATAGTGATGTTGCTAATCTTGGCGATACTTTCAACATTACGATTGTCCCAGTCAATGACCAATTATTTTCCGTTGTGACATCCGCCCCTGGTATGGATGTGGTGCAAGGATTCAATAAAGTCATCACCAAGAAGCATCTGGAGACGATAGATCCAGATACAGGCCCAGATGGTATTCTGTATGCAATTATTCGTGGTCCTTCCAATGGACGAATTGCATTGACTCGCAATCACAGTGTTGATGTACATGAATTCACACAGGAACAGATCAATAATGGTGATTTGATTTTCATCCACAACGGAGCCAAAGAACATGGTTCTTTTTCGTTCAGCGTCAGCGATGGAGTTCATAAAAAGCAATACAAACTTTTCAAATTGAACATCACACCTCTCTCCCTGATACTGATTAACAATACCGGCGTGGAACTGTTACAAGGTGATTTGTATGCCCCAATCACGCGAAACCAACTCGGTGCAGGAACCAATGGCAACCGAAATGGCATAATGTACAATATCACAAGCCAGCCACGCTTTGGAATGTTACTAGTGAATGAGCAGCCTCAGACAACCTTCTCTCAAATTGACATTGACGAAGAACAATTAGCGTACATACAAACTGATAGATCAGCATCAGAAGACGAGTTCCAGTTTGTTGTCTACAACTCTAAGAACATACTTGCAGCTAACGTATTCAAGGTGACTGCAAAAGCTATTATTAAAAAGTCGCACATCTCGGTACGAGCCGGAAGTAGTTCCACTATAACTGTTGCTGAACTTGATGCTACAGAACTGGCTAACCGAACTCTAAGTAACCCAAATTACAATATTGTTGAATTTCCGCAACATTGTCAGATCCTTAACTCATCAACGTCGCAATCCATCTCGCATTTCAGTCACAATGACATCATCAGCAAAAAGGTCATTATCTCAGCCGACCCTATTGAAATGGGGAATTCTACGAAGCATGTTGCAGACTTACTTGTCCTGTCACTCCATGCAAAGAATGTTCAACCAGCACTGGTTGATGTTCCCATTGTTCTTAAGCCTATAAAAACCAAGAAAACAATGGCTAGTGAAGAAAGCAGTCCAACTACTGGCACAATTGGAGTTCTTCATCCGAACATCGTGTCTGACCTGCATCCTGATCCTGATGATACTGAGGAAGATACTAATGAAATTAACATCATGGCGGATGGTGGCCGAAATCCAACAAAGAACCCAGATGGGTCTGGCAGTGTCGGTAACAACTCTTTGGCCAATAATGAACCAGGTTCTAGTCTGGTTAATCAGGAACCTGTGTCTGGTGGCCAGTTAGCTGTCATAATACCCATTATTGTTCTTCTAGTGTTAGCAACCGTTGTTGTCATTGTCATCATTTGGAGAATGAGACGAAGAGACAAGCCAAAGAACGATGACTCCCCGTACCCCGAACCAGATGAGGGCCCACTCCCTGTAGTTCATCCACAAAGAGTTGCTCTACAGGGGTCTCCGGGGCAGAGCTCAGCCAGTACTGGTTTCTCCAGCATGCCACCGCCTATGCCACCAGCGATTTCTCCAGTTCTCAGTCCTGGAATGCCAGAACGCAGTCCAATGGTACCACAGGTTACGGTTACACCGCTGGGGAAACCAACAGGGATGGAAGACCCAAGGTTTGCTCTCAACTACCCAGCCATGCCAGCTGGTCCATCAGGCCAATCGGTGATCAGTTTAACATCAAGTGGTAGTGGGACAATGGTGTATAATTGGCAGAATACTGATCCAGAGATGCAAGAACATTGTAGATCAACTAATCCGAGTCTGAAGAAAAACCAGTATTGGGTGTAAATGTAATATCAGCAGCAGAGAAAAAGGTCAAAATCTCACTTGACCCGAAGTCTACAGCAATTTTGCTGCCAAAAATTCTGATTTTATCAGCATTATAAAGTTTAAGGATCAACTACGGTATTTATTGGCTATTTCAGAACAATTCAAGTTTTATTTTTTGTTGTTCAGTAATATCAGCAATGGTTTGGGGTGGAAATATCATTTAAAAACTAATGTTGTACAATTTTTTCTTGAAAAAGATGTTTCAGATGTTTTGGCAGAAACAGTGGTAAAATGGTTTGCCCCAAAAATATTTTAATTTAAAAAAAAAATATACTTCAATAAAAGCTCCTGTGAAATTCAACTGTATGAACTTAAGAAAATTACTTTTCATTGTTGCATATTTTATAAATATGCCTTATTTATTACGAGAAAGGTTCTGTGTGAGGAAAATGGTTTGTGTTATTGGAGTAGACCATTATTTCTGTAGGGGTGGGGAAGGTGGGGTACATGCACATTTAGCCACTAACAAACATTGTAGTGAAAATGTTTTCTCTAATTTTCTCTAAATCCATAATTAATTTTAATGTACAGATTGAGTATGATATTTGTTAATTGTTTTAATATTTTGGATATTTGATGAGAACAAAAAAAGTAAGCTAAGAACACAGTTCAAAGTATTTTGTGAAAAGTGCACAATGGTGGAAACAAAAATATATAATATTAATATATATTAAGCCATTATATTTATTTTTTCTGGATTCTAGCTCAGCTACTTTCCCCAATAGCAATAGTGGTCCATCCCAAAGGAAACAAGTGGAATATATACACTCTGGCATCCTTACAGTTTTTCCGTTTGTTTGGCCTTTAAGGTGAAGTACATGAAGTAGCTTTGCACAATTTTTGAGATAATGCTAACATTAACCTACCAACTGCTAGGTTAAATTGAAAAGAAATATAAAGTGTATAGTACCAGTGAAAGTGAATAAGTTGTCATTGTCTATGTTTGTGTAGTACAGGAAATACAATGTCTTCACCCAAGAGCCTCTTTCCGAAATTACCTCAAATGCCTAACAGGCAGGAAGCTGTGAGGGCGCCATACTTATTAAAAGGGTGTGTTGTCTGTGACACCCACACTTCAAACTTGTAACAAACTTTCCAATTCCAAAGAGGCAGTTATGCTTTAATGAAGTCTTGACATTTTTTTTTTGCGTAATTGTCCCCCTAATGGTGCTAAATAAATATCATGTAAACCAACTCTCCTTTTCAAAAAACAAACAAAAAACTTTTTCTTTTGTGCACTCATTATAATATTTATATTATTAAATTACCCCCCTATGCAAGTGTTTAGAATTCTACGTTGTGAAAATTGTGTGCAATCAGTTTATCTTCATCATGATACATTTCTCCTTTGTACTAATCATGAATCATGTTGGATTGTGTATGGTGCATTGTGGGTGAAACATCTTAAAATTTGCATGTTGCTGTTTCTACTCATTCATAGTGAGTATATTTCACAGATTACGCTGCACAACTCCAGCAAAATTGCCAATCTTGAAATTGTGTGATTTTTTCCCGACAAACAACCACATTTCTTTGCCTGCCAATCATACACGTCCACACAAAAACAATTGACAGTTGTAAAATTTTGAATTTGTAAGAGTGGAAGTAATTTGCAGAATTGCTTCTAAGAACTTGCTTTATGTAAAATGTTTCATATAATAAGGCCTACTGTTTTATGACTAATATTTATTTTAAACTGGATAGAGATATTTTTTATCCCATGATGCTGTTTTGCCAAGTTTTTACGGAACAATGATTTGAGCTGATGTTTTAAATATTAATAATAAAAACTAAATCAAAAAACCGAGCTGTTTTTTTTTTTAATTCAGCTTATATGAAAAGTATTCTTGATTTTAAAGAATCTATCTTTTCCATATGGCGATTTTAAGTCATTATATTTATTTTTAATTTTGTATTTAAAAAAAAAGAAAGAGTATTTATGGCGGCTGACATTAAGTTTTCAATCTTTTTTTTTACTTTTATATGTTGCCATGGTAATTTAACTCTAAAATATGTGGCAGCATTTTCTGAATAACCATGAATATTCCTCATATCTTCTAAATTATTTATCCCTGTCAGTTGCACTACTAAATTTAATGATTTTTCACTCATTACTGAGATGAACTGCCACATTTTTTTACTTATCGGTGAACGAGAACATATTTTACGTTATGTATTACTGAAGATGTATTATAATTTTAAAGGAAAGACATGTCAGTTATTTTCTGATTTCAAGAAATTCTACTTATTTGTTTAAAACCCAAAGTTAATATATATAACTATTCGTAACTATCACTAACTATTTATAACTACTTATTACCAGCTAGTTAAATTCACAATGCCTTAGACAGTTAAAGGGTCATCTGCTGTGTTTGTTGTTGATATTTTTATACAAACTGAACTCTGTGGTACAAAATGAACCTATACATAGGTAATTTGTGAATATCAACTGGCTATAAACATGTAACCAGTGCCTAGACAGCTGGATATGCACATGTAAAAAGCACCTAGGCAGTTAGAAAATTAAATCTCTTTAAGCTACATCTACATGTGTATTTGCATGTTCTGATCATTAATATACACCAAGTGAAATAACATATATTCTTGTGTGTTTGGTAAAAACAGATTATCTGGCTCATTACCAAATTGTTTACAAAATATTACCAGATTATGCAGATTATGTCCCTTTAACTGATAGACTGCTTTGTACTTGAAACCGTATTTTTCATCGTTATCTTATTTATATTATAAGCCTCGGCAGCAATTGGTGATAATTTGTCTTTGAACATTCGAGCTTGTTTATTCTTTTTCGTTTTTTTTTTTAAACAAGATACAATGTAGTTTGATAGTTTGTGTATCATGTATGTATCAATATTTATTAAATGCAACATTTCTTTGGTGCGTGGGTTGGGGGTTGTTTGTTCGCTCTGTGGCTCAGCTGACCCTGTATTGTTGCAGTATTTGATTGATGTATTGATGGCTGCTTTGGTTCAGTGAACAACGAACTCCTCATTTGATGAGTGAATCCAACATGTATGCGTGCGAATTTCATCAATCCTCTCAGTCAAGTTTTCAGTTTGGTTTATAGCGTTGTAATGTACATGTATTTTTGAAAACCATATTAAAAATGACCAAGCAGTAGTACCACCCAAACAACGAAAATTAACTTCTCTTTACATCATCAACGTAAAACGAGCCATTATTTTTAGAGAGGGAAATTCTATATCTATACGGTAATAATTATGTAACTATCGGTATAGATCCAGTACTTTCAGTTCTATACTAAAACTAGTCAAGACAACACTATAAGAGTCTGGTAGCAATTAGCAATGCTTTTCATGTATTTTTTCGATGTCTTTGATCAGCTTTATCGGTGTAATTGTTTCTTGATCAGCTTTACGTTATATAAATTCAAATCATAATACCTTGATTTCTTGTAGATTAGGAAGTTTTTTCATCTTTTAGGAATGATGCAGAAATGAAATCCAAACAAGAGTGTAAAAATATTTACTTGTTTGTTTTGTCGGATATCATTCTGAAAATTGCTAAAAAAAATTGAACTGGATCAAACTGGTTCAGACCAGATTATTTCAATCATGTCATGGTTGCAGCCTCACAGTTGTTGCTCAACATGCATTCAAATTTCATGTTAACAATGTATCTTATGTACGATGTGGTGTACAGTTGCATAGGAACCATATTGAGCATGACTGAAATGCTTCAACAGTTTTCTGAAACATTATAAATCTGGTTCACCAATATTGATTAAAACTTTGTGGATCAAAACTGGAAGAAGCTAGTTTAAATCTTGAAAATCTAATTGAACCAATCAAAATCCAAGAAAGGATTTCCTTCTGCCCGATAGAATCAACATGTTCTTAGCTATGTGTTTCTAGCTTTTATATACAAATGTCTTGTATATCTTTAACACTGTATGTTGCAATAAAAACGATGCCACAAAATTAATTTCTTTGAATGTTTATTTATGTTGAAACAAAGGGAAATTTTATATGCTGCTTAATACTGTAAATCGTTTCAATTCTGTGGGACATTTTTTCGTGCGAGTCAAAGAAAAGGCATTCTAAAGACAGTAGGGTCACAGTCACTATGGCTAAATTTTGTCCTCAAAAACACCTATAAATCATCCAATCCTGAATTTCCCTAGCTGCAAAAACTAAATGGTTTACAGTATATTAAACTACTGTAGAATACTTTATTTTAGCTGGAATTAATTTTCGCTGAAAATACCTTTTGGGCATTTTGTATGGAATTTATTTTCACTGATTTTTGATGAATGGATGTGAAATATAGGGAAAAAAGTATATATTTGCTGGATTATATTTTCACTGAATCATTCCTTCAGTGAAAATAGTGAAAATAAAGTATTCTCCAGTATTCAGTTTAATGAATTAATACTACAGCTAACCAATCGGTATCCCTGTTACAAACATTTTGTGTTTTAGTAAAGCGCTCTCAGATTCCTTGGTGAATACAGTTTAGCTCCTGAAAATTTGTCATTAAAATTAGAAACTAGTGCTCTGCTTGTGAATGTTGCAGGAGCCATCTATTGGCACTGTCGTACCACAGTTTTGCAAACTTTAATTAAACATGCTATGGTGGTGAGGTGATGACTGAATAAATTGACCTTGGCTGAGGAAGATTATTGAAGTTGTTGTACATAAGATTCTTTAGACCCCCACCCCATCCCACCCCCAAATTTCCACTGCTGTTTATCATTTTGTAGTGAGTATAAGCTGAATCTGATTTAACCCACCTGTGTGTGTGTGGGGGGGGGGGGTGAATCACTGCATTTGAACTACAGAATTTTGAATGGCAAGTCAAACATTTTCGCTAATGCTCATGTGACATTACCCTGTAAAATATTCATAATTGTTTACGATAGAACAGTTTCACTGAACACAACGAAACCTTATTCTCAATTTAAATAACTCAATAAA